CTCTTTTTCGCCCCCAAAAGCCGTCTCTTTCACACACACCACTGGAGATTATTAAATTAATTTTTATTAGGCGTCAAGCCGTAAAGAACAGCTGAGATGGATGGACGGCTGGCTGGATGGATGGATGGACGGAGTGAAGTCGAGTGAATTGAGTGCTGGAATGAATGAATGAATGGCAAGCTCACATGACAACGCGTTATAATTAAGAACAATGGCAACTTATTCAGTGCCCGATAAAGACAGGAACACGATGACAGAAAGAGAGAGGGCGAGATGGCGATTTGTTAGCGGTACCAGCTTTCGGTGCCGACTTCCCAGACTTCTCTCATTTATTCCAGCCGCTGACACTTGACGGATTCCATCGCCGATTGCCGTGACATGTCATCGCCCGGGAATTTAATTGCAAACTCCCCTCGGGGCGGTACAAAAAGACCCCTAAAAAGTGGCGGGAACCAAGCTGAATGAGTGCTTGGAATGAGAAATGTGGGATTTGGGGGAAAATATTCATGATTTTTAGTGCTAACAAGGTGAACTCAAGGATGCGTTTAAACTTAACCCAACAATTACTCAAGATAACCCACCTGTTTCTCAATATTTGGCAATCCCTTCAATAAGATCCGCAAACAACCCCGGTAATCTTGGCAGAAGAAACAGGAAGTTCCCCTGGATCCTCCAAAGATCTTCCCAAGCGATTCCAACAGATGAATTCAATATCCTAATCCTTAACTATTCCATTCGGCAGCTACTCTCAAGGGTTTCCTTTTACCATACGCCGGGGGCGTCCCTCAAAGCGGTCATTGTCTTCGGACAATAAAAAAAAAGCAATTCCAATTACAAGACAACATAACAAATGAAATTTTCGCAAGAGGCAGCTGGCGAAAAAATAAAAAAATAAAATAAAGTACTGGTATCTACAAAAGAATCATTTCCATGACTCATGTGACTGTGACCCAATGAGCAATATACGAGACACAAGCGCCCAGCACCCACGAGATACAGATATGAGAATTGCACGTCTTTGGCAACCCAAGACCCGAGACAAGCGAGACGATTACAAAAGAAAATAAATTTTTGCGCAAATAAAAACGAAAGAGAAGCCAGAACGATCAGTCATCGTAGGGAAATAGGGAACCCAACCGAACCGAGCTGCACCTCCGGGCCAATACACTCGACTAATCTAATCAAATCAAATCAATGCCGGCAGGACCGCCTCTTGTATAGGATTACAAATCCCTTGGATACTGAATGTAAGTGCCACGATATAGTATGCACTTGGAGAAATGTATAAACTTAGAGAACTGTTGTAAGAAAATTCTTTAAAATATGTGACCTTGTAAACAGTTTTTAAAATATTATTATTAATTAATTTCCAACCTGTTCTGGTTTCATTAAAAAAATATCAAATGTCATTAAACGAATATTGAAATAGTCCACCTAATCCCTAAAATAAATACTTAAATAAACAAAAATCTGTTTCTATAAAATCGTTTAAGAAAATATTGACCCAAATTTCTTCCAAGTGTCATCTGACAATCCTGGTAACATATTGTGCAATCCCTGGCTCTGGGTCTGTTCTTTCAGAGCCAAGCACTTCCTGGCTTACACCAACTGGCCTGATCGATCGATCGGCCGATAAAGAAAATCATAAAGCGAGTGAAAGAAATGAGGAAAGAAAGAAAGAAAGGTACAAGGCAGGAACAAACAATTGAGCGAGGATTGTAACAAAATCCTAGCCGAAGATATCGCTTCTGCAGCATTTAACTGTTTACCTGACCTGATAGCTGAGGTGAGGTGAGATGGGACGGGACGGGACGAGGGCGAAGGCGAGGTAAGGCCAAAAAGCAAGACCAAGACGATGTTTGCACGGTCAACTTTCAACACAATTTGTAGGCTACCTGCAGTTTGCTCAGACGGAGGCTTGGGTGTGGGTTTTCCTGAGAACGGAGCCCATATCGGGCCGGAGGAGAGATTCATCTCGTACCATCCCATCCCATGCCATCCTATACCATCCCATTCCCGTCCAAACAACTTGGGTAACTGGCTGACTGATACGCATCGCCTGGGATGTGTTTGGTTAATCAGCACCTGTCGACTCAACGGGCGTCGACAGGTACAACTACAACGCGCTCACGGAGCACTCCATATATACAGTTGCGATCGAAATAATAGCACAGCAAATCAAGGGTTTAGCCTCATTTCAGTACGGGTTTCACTTCTTGCCCGTTTGAGTGCTTATTTGGTAAACAATTATATAAGAGCTGGCCCATTAGTTGCAACTCTGCGGTAACTAACCCCAAAACATATGTCGGCTATAAATCATGTTTTATATGGATTATATCTTGAGTGTTGTTTTACCTTGTATGACATTGTATTTTTATAAATTTTAATTGGAAATTGCAGAGGGGATATTAATTAAAGCTAAATAAATATTTATTAAAATCGAAAAATGAAAATAATAATAAAGTATGATGACTAGGCCAACAAGAAATCGGTTTATTTGTAGGTCATTCATGTTATTTTAAGATTTATGATAGTTTAAGCTTTTGGCAGACTTATAAATATGTTTTTTTGTATTTTTAAATACGAATTAAATAAATAGTAAATAAACTTAAAGATTAGCGATAATGTTTTGGAAGGTAAGTGAGAAATTTAACAAGTAAAGACTGATATTTTTGGAAAATTAATACCTCTATTTTTAGCAAATAAATCCAATAAAGCTGTGTCTCTTTTGTTTAAGAATTATTATTATTCTTCCCTCTGCTGTCATCATTTTCTATATAACTTAGTAGCCATCAGTATTTATTTATTTTTTTGGGAAAGTTTGAAAGTGCGGTTACAACATATGGCCATCCGGATCATGCGAAAAAAACGACAACAGATTCCGACTCAGATTCGGACTCTGCTCGGATTCAAGCTCCATAATGAGTAAGCCCCAAGATCTCCCCGACAAATCTCGATTGCCAGCCGGTCCAAAAAAATATATATAAAAAACAACAAAATCCAGCAACAATTACAATTACAAAAACGTAACAACAACCATACCCACCAACTGCTGGGGTTGCTCTCATAAATCAAGAAAAATCAGTCAATTTTTTGTCGGTTCGAGTGTTCGAACAGAGAACGTACGAGTGTGCGAGTGTGTGCCTGTATCAAACTGACATTGGCTGAATTAACAATTGATTTCAATAATTTTTTATGATTATTCTCCGTTGCTGTATATTCTTTTTTTGCCTCGTTTTCGGTTTTTGTGGCCGTCTGTCTGCAAGGCAAGCAACGGCGGCTAAGAAAAGCCGGAGATCAGCCACTTGGCACTCAATTCAAACTGCTGAATTCAGCAAACTCGATCCGAGTGCTGCTCTTTCCGGCTCTCCGCTGAATATGAAAAAGTCACTCAATTGCGGAGGAAACTCGAACACTCGGCCGGTATGTTGGAGAGGAAAACTCGTCTAACCGGTGTGACGAGTGTCAATGTCTCATTGGAATTGTTTGCTCGGCTTTGACGCTCAGCGGAACCGACAGCAGGGAATCGGAATTTCAAGCCCACGGTGCCGTCGCACAGTGGGCCTGGGACACAGCGAGGTGCTAACTGTGGGTGCGGAACTGGTGAGGTTCCTTTGTTCAGCTCTCAAGGGCAAATATTTGAGGTGTGGGCTAATTTGATTTGCATTCAAAGGACATACGGGCGGAAGTCATAAAATAGGTTGGAATTGCTTTATTGCAGATATTTTGTATACCCATAACTAATTGACATATTCGATTAGTTACAAGCCCAATAGGGTATTCTAAAAAATATTTTAAAACATCTGCTTGAGAGTGGGTTATTCTAATTTAATTTTATTATAAATGGAATGCTTAGTTTAAGCTTAACCAACATGGCGTATGAGTAATAAGCTTTAATGTTTTGTCTATATTTTTCTATCTTTTAAACTATAATATTTTCAACTTTTTCTCTCTTTCTTCATTATTTTATTCCATTTAAAAATATAACTATATATAACATATAATAAACCATTAAATACCAAAAAATTTATAAATGTTTCAAAAATTAAAATGAGGCTTTGCCAACATGGCGGATGGGTTATAGGGCTAAAATCTATGTTAAAAAACTCAGGGTAGTTTTTTCAAATTTTTTTCAGATTATTTATTATTATGAATTATTATGATTATGAACTATTTATTTCACCATTCTATTACAAAACTACTAAATTAAAATATATTTCATAGTTTTATCTAAGTGCACTCATATGGAGTGAGTTTTAAGATTTTTAAACGCTTTAGAAACAATAAAGATTCATATAATTAATTTTATTTTATGCTTCAAACTGCCTTATATTAAAGAAAAAGAGAAAGATCTTTAAATATTTATACAAAAATAGGCCATCCCTATAATCCTTGCGACATAATAAAATGTATAGCATATTTTTAAGGATTATATGTTTGCACTTGCTAGATAATCCTTCTTCCCATGGGAAAACAGTTCCTATTCACGTAAAAGATCTTTGATCATGTATTGCCTTACTTTTTGCTAAAATCTTTGGCCCTTAAATCTCTTTGGCCCGGATTTCCACATGTTTTTAAGCCAAGATCACCTGCCCATCTCCCGCGATCTTACTTCCTCGTTTCCCACAGCGTTCCACATCTGTCGTTTGGGAAATGCAAATGCTACCTGCCAACCAAAACACATGCACAATTCAATGCTATTCAGCCCACTGTGCACGGTGGGTTATGACGGTGCGTTGCGTTGCGTTTGCATTGCATGGCTTTTGTTTATTTTACCCCTCGTTTTGATGATCGCTCTAGTTCCTTGGGTTCGGGTTCGGTTCTGTGTGCGTGCTCAATGGGTGCTCAGCCACTCACTATTCACCTACTCAGTCGCTCGCTCGCTCACTCACTACACTCAGCAGAGATGCAGATACTCAGATACTCACCCCGATTGAGTGATTCTCGGCGGCACTTGCTGCTGACCGAAAAGAAATGTGAGCGATCAGTTTTTGAGTTGACTTCGAGCCGAGCGGACGCGAGTTTGTCGTTCTGCGGATCACGAAACCAAAAAAAAAAGTGAAGATACAAAGAAAGAGAATCCAAATCGCCTCGAGAAAAATTTAGAACACGAAGTGGCACAAATTTATCAAAGCAACGCGCTATCGCACCCCCCACTTGGATTACGGTCAACGCGAAACAACTACAACTACAACTAAAAATCAAAACAAAAATAAAAGATATAAAGATATAAAGCTACAAAAAGCAAAGAAATCGAAAAGAAGAAAGTATTATAGCCAGCGAGAAAAACAAGAAAATCGTATTAGATTAAGTTCTGGCATCTTTGATGTTTGGTGTTTCTGTGAAAAGTGGCTATTGTGCAAAGCTACGCTATAAAATATAAAAAGATTCTAATAAATAATACACAAAAACACAAATTTAAAATGGGAAAGAAATAATTAAGGATTGAGAGACCAAAACATAACCCCCGATCCCCCGTTCGAATCAAACCGAAATCGGATCGCGAAACCCATTGGAAGCCAAAATGCTGGCCACCAGTCATATGCTGTACGTTTTGATCGCCACCTGGGTGATGCCCATTTTCGGGGCCGCCCTCAGCAAAACGGTTCTCTACCAGGCTCCGGACGAGTGCCGCTGGTCCGGCGGCGGGGAGCACGACATCACCCTGGTGTGCCACCTGAGAACCATCAACTCGGAGCTGGAGAACACCAACTTCAGTGTCATCCAGCCGCACAACACGGTGCGCCTGCGTCTGGAGTGCAACGATGCCCTCTTCTTCCAGAGCAGCCTTAGTCCGGACAGCTTCAGGTCGCTGGTGGAGCTGCGCGACCTGACCATCGAGTACTGCAAGCTGGGAAACCTCACCGATGGCTCTTTCCGCGGCCTGCACGAGCTCCGGAACCTGACCATTCGCACCCACAACGGCGATTGGTCCACAATGTCGCTGGAGATGGCCTCCAACAGCTTCGTGGAGTTCCGCCAGCTGGAGCGCTTGGACCTCAGTCTGAACAACATCTGGCTGATACCCGATGGCATGGTGTGCCCCCTGAAGTCGCTGCAGCACCTGAATGCCTCCTACAACAAAATCCAGGACATCAGCAACTTTTACTTCAGCGCCTCGCTGAGTTCCCGGAAAGCCAGGGTTTGTGGCTCCACGCTCCAAAGTCTGGACTTGAGCGCCAACAAGATGGTCAGCCTGCCCTCGGCCATGTTGTCGGCTTTGGGACGATTAACGAACCTAAACATGGCCAAGAATAGCATGAGTTTCCTGGCCGATCGTGCCTTTGAGGGTCTTCTTTCCCTGAAAGTGGTGGACCTATCGGCCAACCGGTTGACTTCCCTGCCACCGGAACTTTTCGCCGAGACCAAGCAGTTGCAGGAGATCTACTTGCGAAATAACTCCATCAACGTCTTGGCTCCTGGAATCTTTGGGGAGCTGGCCGAGCTTCTGGTCTTGGATCTGGCCAGCAACGAGCTCACCTCCCAGTGGATCAACGCTGCCACTTTTGTGGGTCTGAAGCGGCTAATGATGCTGGATCTTTCCTACAACAAAATAAGCCGCCTGGAGGCGCACATCTTCCGACCATTGGCCAGCTTGCAGATCCTTAAACTGGAGGAGAACTACATTGACCAGCTGCCGGCGGGCATTTTTTCGGATCTCACGAATCTGCACACCCTGATTCTCTCCCACAATCGCATCTCGGTGATCGAGCAGCGCACTCTGCAGGGCTTGAACAATCTGCTGGTGCTCTCCCTGGATAACAATCGCATTTCCCGGTTGGAACAGCGATCTCTGGTCAACTGCACTCAGCTGCAGGATCTTCATCTGAATGGCAACAAGCTGCAGACGATTCCCGATGCTCTGGCCCATGTGCCGCTGCTGAAAACCCTCGATGTGGGCGAGAACATGATCAGTCAGATCGAGAACACGAGTCTGACGCAACTGGAGAATCTCTACGGCCTGAGAATGACGGAGAATCCCCTGACGCACATCCGGCGAGGAGTCTTCGATCGCATGACCTCTCTGCAGATCCTCAATCTGTCCGGCAACAAGCTGAAGTCGATTGAAGCCGGTTCCCTGCAACGGAATGTCCAGCTGCAGGCCATCCGATTCGATGGCAATCAGTTGAAATCCATCGACGGGCTCTTCACCGAGCTGCCCAACCTGGTTTGGCTGAACATCTCCGGCAATCGCTTGGAGAAGTTCGACTACTCGCACATTCCCATCGGCCTGCAGTGGCTGGATGTGAGGGCCAACAGGATTACCCAGCTGGGAAATCACTTCCAGATCGAAAACGAACTCAGCCTGACCACCTTCGATGCCAGCTACAATCTGCTGACGGAGATTACCTCCAACTCGATACCGAACAGCGTCGAGGTTCTCTACCTGAACGACAATCAAATCTCCAGCATCCAGCCCTACACCTTCTTCAAGAAGCCGAACCTGACGCGAGTGGACCTGGTGAGGAATCGTCTCACCACTCTGGAGCCCAATGCTCTGCGCCTCTCGCCCATTGCCGAGGATCGCGAGATCCCGGAGTTCTACATTGGCCACAATGCCTACGAGTGCGACTGCAACCTCGATTGGCTGCAGAAGGTGAACCGGGAGTCGCGGACTCAGCCGCAGCTGATGGACCTGGATCAGATTCACTGCCGCCTGGCCTATGCCCGCGGATCGTCGCATGTCTCCCTGATCGAAGCCAAGTCGGACGACTTCCTCTGCAAGTACGCCTCGCACTGCTTCGCCCTGTGCCATTGCTGCGACTTCCAGGCCTGCGACTGCAAAATGGAGTGCCCCGATAGGTGCTCCTGCTATCACGATCAGTCGTGGACCTCCAATGTCGTGGACTGCAGTCGGGCCACCTACGATCAGGCCCTGCCCTCCCACATTCCCATGGATGCCACACAGCTCTACTTGGACGGCAACAACTTCCGGGAGCTGCAGAGTCACGCTTTCATTGGACGCAAGCGCTTGAAGGTTCTGCACTTGAATCACTCGCGGATCGAGATCCTCCACAATCGCACCTTCTATGGCCTTCTGGAGCTGGAGGTCCTGCAGCTGCAAAGCAATCAGCTGACGGCTCTCAACGGCAACGAGTTCCAGGGTCTGGACAACTTGCAGGAGCTGTATCTGCAGCACAATGCCATCGCCACCATTGATACTCTCACCTTCACGCACCTGTATCACCTGAAGATCTTGCGCTTGGACCACAATGCCATCACCTCGTTTGCCGTTTGGAACTTCCTGCCCAGTTACCTGAATGAGCTGCGCCTGGCCGGAAACCCCTGGAGTTGCAACTGTGAGTTCATCGACAAGCTGAAGGACTTCATGAACCGCCACGAGTATGTCGCGGACAGGCAGAAGATGAAGTGCGAAACTGTTGGTGGCAACAGCACCCAGCAGATGGCACTGTATCCCGGATCCGGAGCCGAAGCCACCCCCCTGCCGGTGGTGCAGTGCAGCCAGACCCTGCCACTGGGTCTGGATAACAACTACATCTACGCGGAGCAGGCAGCCAGTGGCGGCAATGCCTCCAATGCCACCTCCACCAAGATGATCCTGAACCAGCCACCAAAGCAGGACTATATCCCCATTCTGGTGGCCATACTGACTGGCTTCATTTTCGTTATGATCTGCACCCTGTTGGTGTTTATTTTCCGCCAGGAGATGCGCGTGTGGTGCCACTCGAGGTATGGCGTCAGGCTGTTCTACAATGCCCACAAGGACGTGGACAAGAACGAGCGAGAGAAGCTGTTCGACGCCTTCGTCTCCTACTCCTCCAAGGATGAGCTGTTCGTGAACGAGGAGCTGGCTCCCATGCTGGAGATGGGCGAGCAAAGGTACAAGCTGTGCCTTCATCAGCGAGACTTCCCCGTGGGCGGCTACCTGCCGGAAACCATCGTCCAGGCCATCGACAGCAGCCGGAGAACTATAATGGTGGTCAGCGAGAACTTCATCAAGTCGGAGTGGTGCCGGTTCGAGTTCAAGTCCGCCCATCAGTCGGTCTTGAGGGATCGGCGCCGTCGCCTGATTGTGATTGTGCTTGGGGAGGTGCCTCAGAAGGAACTGGATCCGGATCTGCGCCTATATCTGAAGACCAACACGTATCTGCAGTGGGGCGATAAGCTGTTCTGGCAGAAGTTGCGCTTCGCCTTGCCGGATGTCTCCTCGTCCCAGCGATCGAATGCCGGCGGCGTCGGCCAGGGCTGCCATGTGCCGATCAACCATGCCGCCTACCACCACCACCATCACATCCACCAGCAGCCGCTGCCCCTGCCTCACCCGCCGCACCACCATCATCAGCAGCAGTTCATGCTGCCGCCGCCACCTCAGCAACCGGGTAGCTTCCGTCGCCAGCCGTCGTTGCAACACCAACAGCAGCAGCAGCAACTGCGGGGCGCTAATGCAACACAACAGCAACAACAGCAGCAGGCCGCCCTGCTCATGGGCGGTGGGTCGGTGGGAGGGCCTGCCCCCCAGATGATACCCTTGGCGGGGGGCATCCAGCAACAGAGCCTGCCACCGCCACCCACGCAACCCACGCCGGCGTCCAGAAATCTGCACATGTGAGTGGGGTTACGAGATAAGTAGAAGGGTTATAGGTTAACGGCAAGGTCAAGAGAGTTGGATATTGGAGATGACGATATTTATTTTTTTTTTAACTTATTAGCTTTCTTTCCCCCTCCTCCCTTAAAAAAAAAAAACAAGTTGAACTTCCTCCAATTTTTTTGTTGTTGAGAAAAGGAGGGGAATTGCATTCAATATGCAAATGCAAACGTTTAGCGATAAAAGCCTAGTTACTTGTTAAAATACGAAAAAGAAAATAAGTCGAATGGGGAGAGAACAGGCAACAACCAGAAGATACTTGGCAACAACAAAAGACAACAGTAAAATAGCTGGCGAGCCAGGCAATTGTTGTTTGTTGGCCCTGTTCTGTTTTCTTACGGCCAGCTATTTTCAGTTTCCTGGCTCGCAGCTAGATTCAGAAAATTGATGTTGCATGCAACACACTCACACACACACCAAGCAGCAACACCAACAACCAGTCAGTCAGCAACAAAGGCCCAAAACTATTTCTCTTCTTGCCTGTTTTTCCTCCTTCCTTGTATATTTTTTTTTCTTCTACACATTTTGTATTTTTGTTTTTCTTGGTTCACCATTTTCCCTGTTTTGCAACGTTCCGTCGTTAGTTCATCTTAACTGCTGCATTTTGCTATAACAAGCTCGACGTGTGTAGAAGATACACCCGTGTATCTGTATCTGTATCTGCAGCTGTAAATGTATCTGTGACTGTGACCGAGACTGCGACTGGGACTGGGACTTGGACTGAGCAAAAGGAAAAATAGGCAACGCAAAACACATCACAGAGAGAACTCATGTCTGGCCAAAAGAAATTGTAACAAAAAGCAGACCTTAGACGTTAGACGAGGACACAGACCAAAAATCCCCCACCAAAAAAAAAATAGACCCAGACTGTCTACAGACAGTGTGTTGTTGCAGCAGCTGGACGGGTTAAAATTGGTTTCGGGTTCTGTGTCTTTTTCTTTGTTTTGTTTTGGCCCCTTTGAGCCACAATTACATGTGCTAATCAATGGTATATGGCTGAAACGGAGAGAGCTCAAGATGTGGGAAAATGTAAACAATTGTTTTTAGGATTTTAGCCCTGATAAAGGCCAAGAGGCAGCAAAGCACGCTATGCCTAGATTTGATTAGAAAACCTAGCTTTCTTTCTTTCTTTCTTTCTTACTACATCCCTCCCAGCTAGTCAGAGATTAAGAATTTCCCAGAGTGAAACTTACACGGATGACCTTGTGCTGCCAGAAGGAAAATAATAAAGAAAAGCGTAGAGAACTTCATTGGCGAGTCGAGAAAGTCCCAAGAAGAAAAGTCTCAAGGAAAAGCGTAGGAGAGAGATCAGCACGTGTGCCCGTGCCAGCGAGTTTTCAGTTTTCGGGCCCCGAAAAGTTGTGTTTTTGGCCAATCGACAAGGCCGGTGTGGAGGGAGCAGGAACATGGCACAGAGCTGTACAGATTAGTTTGGTCTTGGGCGATTAGAATCTACCTGGTTGTTCTGTCCCTCCTTGCCACTGCCTCTTTTTATTCCCCTATAGCCATCTCTATCGCAGACAATATCCAGCTCTGCTGCCTTGCCGGGCCAATTTAAGAATGCATTCCAAAAGCAAGAAACCAGAAAACTAGTTAACAAAACACACTACACACGCACTATCTAGATGGATTCACTTGGCTTAAAGTTTAAACTGTAAATAAGTTAAAAATCTAAATGTTAATTCTACGTTAATTTGTTTAATCATTGTGATATTTTGTTTTAGAATTAATTTCTAATTTATGAAGATGAATACCATTTTCCAAGCAACCTATACTTAGCCGTAAGCTTATCCTCATTAGTTAGACTAGTTAGTAAGTTAATAAATCAAAACCTAATCCGAATCCGAATCGAATCCACAACCCCGCCTATAATACAGCCATATTAATTCTATGAAAATAATAAAACTATTGTATATAAAAGAAAAAGGACTGTATGCACAAAAACGAAGCAAAAATATAAAACAACACGAATTATGCAACACGAATCAAACAAATTTAAAACATAAATCGACTGATTACATGTGTACTATACTATACATATATGCATAACCATGCATAAAAATTAATTATGATTTACTTGTCGTTTGTTGTAAATATTGTAACCTACACACGAATATGTATTTTATTTTGTAATTTTATGTTTTCTAGTTTATAGTCAACAAAAAAGCGAAAAGAAAAAGCTAAACACAAAAATATATAAATGACAAAAAATTGATAATCCAAAAAAGAGACTTGATTTTTTATTTACTTTCCCACAGCTCACAGCCCACAGAGCCACAAGTCTGGCCCGAATGATATTATTATTATTATTTTTTGTCTGCCTCTGATAACCCATAAACTATCTCGCCTTGACACTTGATACGGTTTTTGGATACGGAATCCACGCCAAAAGCAGATTCCAATGCCAGCAGCCGCTGTTTCCATGGGGCGATTGGAGTTCTGGTTTTGTTTATGTCAGAGGTGGTGTTCTATTACGGTCAAAAAAATCTACAAAAAAATCGCAAGATAAACACTAAGGGGTATATCATTCCATGTCAAAAAAGGGGTCTAAAAATGTGTACGCTTGCATTTCACTTGGCCAAATTCCAGTGATAGACTTTTCAAGCCCCCCTCGTATTCATTAATCGATTAAAAGACCAACAGCATCCCACGATTGCTCCATTTGAATTAATTTAAAAGACGAAAAAAAAAAAAATTATAGCAACAAAGCCTCCGCCAGCGCCTTCTTGGCAAAGATGCCAAGATATATTCCCATGCATATTTTAAAGATATATCTATATGGCAGTCGTATCTCATCTTTGGAATTGCTGGCTATCGTGTGTTTATACTTGCTGTGGCTGCTTTTATTTGACTCAATGAGCCCACAGCGAAATATTTTGCTTATTTCGCCGATTCTGTCGATTCCGCCGACTGGAGAACGAGTTCGTCGTGGGCTCCCGATGAATGAATAATTTTTATGATCAATTAAATGAGCAATAAAATTGATGGGGCCCCCACCACCGAAACATAAATTCACATTGCTTAAATTAGCAAATTTTACAATCAATCATTAGCGGGCCAACGGAGTTCCAATAGTCTTTGATGTGAATTTTTTTTTTTTTTTTTTGTAGATTTGGGGTGGCAGTAGGATGGGGGCTCAAAATTGTATCTGGGCATCTGGCAGATACACATATGTCTGTGGCCTAACCATTGGAGAAGTTCAAGCTCGAGTTAAACCCTTTTCAATATTTTCTTTTCTCTCATCTCTTGATTCGGTACGGTTCAAGGCAAAAACCTAGAAAACTTTGCAAAAAAACACGTCAAATATTAAAAACTTTTCTTTGCTTTTACTTTCTCTGGGCCATATACATATATACCTTTCACATGTATGTATATGTATATCCCGACATTCACATATATCCCTCCCGCCTTTTCCTTTATTTTATCAATTTTGCCTGTGGGATTTGTTACAAAGTAACGGATGAGTTGAGTGCAGACACCGCCAATCCAAGAGGCAAACTTTCAATTGAATTTTTTTGTTCATGTTGTTTCCTTTCGGGTAAGGAAAGTTTAGAGGCCTTCTGGGGGTCGGGGCTTAAATTTTTTGTTTCTTTTCTGGGAAGGGGTGGGGTTTGGGTTGTCAGGTTTGGGAATGGGCTTGGCACGGGGGGTTCCGTCTGTCATTTGGCATACGCAGCGAAAAGAACTCGACGTAAATATTTCGGTTTACAAGTCAGTTTAGTGTCAAAAGAGATGCCTTTTATTTATAGATTGCCCTTGCCGAAGTTTGGTCTTAGATGGAACTGCAGGTGGGGTTGTCTAACAGGGAGGGAATATGGACTTAAGGGAGGTAGCTACTAGAATGTATTTACTTTTTACATTTTTGTTTTAGGGATAAACATAATTTTAAGAAATACAGATTGATTAAAATATGGTTCAAGTTTGTAGTGACATAGCCCTTGACCTCTTGAACCGCTCCTGTTTGCCCATTTCTCGATAGCCCAGCTTTCTTCGTGGCCGAAAACCTACATCAAAAATTTCCCTGACTGCAGTTTAGAAGTTTTTATTCGCTCTCGTTTCTTTTGGCATTTTTTTGTGCGCCTTTTGCGGGTCTGAAAGTCAAATCAAAGTGCTTGGCCCTGGCTAAAGCTTAGTGCTAATGCCAGAGCCATCAGTCGGAACTTTTTGGCCATCTATCAAAGGCTAAAAGCGAAAGGGAAGTGTGGCCCAAAAAAAATAGGTAAGAAAATGGAAAAATCTGAGAAAAACGTAAAAATAATAAACGAAATAAGGGAAGTCGAAGAAGCAATCTCATTAGGAGGCCGCATCAACACATTCGACAACCAACATTCGGTGGCAGAAATATTTGTGGCATGTGCAACCGTCAATTAGGTAGCCACCCAATCATTGCACCCACCACTTGGCTCATTAGACTCCAAACGAATCGAGAGTCGTAAAAGTCGCCGGATGCTCCCTCGGCTCCGGGTCCCTGTTCTCTGGTCTCTGGTCTTTCGTATAAATAAATATGCTTTTATTGGAAGACGACTACAACTGTTTGCAATAAAAGCAACATTTTTCTTAATTTCCATTTCTTGCTAATTTACCAGCCATAAATTGCCCGCCCGTCTACCCCGTGGGCAGTGAAGTAACCACTGGGATGGGGAATGTTGTGCTGTGTGTTTGGGATTCAATTTAGAGGGATGTGGGCAGGACGGGGGATACGGATCGGATCGGATAGGATAGGATCGAATCGAATCGAGGCGGAGGGGAGAGGTTACCGAAACAAGCGGACCTGAACCGACCGATTCCACGGTAGACACATAAAATTGACTACAAATTATTGCACATTGTCAAAACAACATTGGTTTGCAATTTTCGCGCTTCAACGCAGATGCAAAAAGATAGTCGCCGGGGGGTTACGAGGGGTGAGAGAGGAAATATATATCCAGATATAGTCATGGAGATGCCAACCAACCGAGGGAGGTGGATATAGTAGTGACAGACAGAAAGGAAGAGTGAGAGGTATCGAGCAATCAGGTAGGAGAATTCATTACGTGGATATACTCTTTTTTAATTGCAAAGTTTATTTA